CCCAGTAAGAGAACAGTCAGGTACTGTATAGGAACAAACTCAAAAAACAGCAAAAGGAGCTCTAAAACAGATCCACCTACCCAGAGATAACTATTGGAAAATCACTGCCATCGACGGCCTAGTGTCTTAGCAGAAGTTATTGCTGTGATGAGACTCTGTGACCAAAGCAACTGGGAAGGAAAGGGTTTATTTGGCTTACTCTCCATCATCACTGTTATCACTGAAGGAAGTCAGGGCGGGAATTCAAGCAGGGCAGGATCCTGGAGGCAGGAGCTGATGCACAGGCCACGGAGGGGTGTGCTTGCTGGCTAAGCTTGCTTCCTGAGAGCACCCAGAACAACGAGCTCAGGGACGGCACCATCCACAGTGGGCTGGGCTTTCCCGCCTCAATCATTAGCTTAAAAAATGCCCTACAAGCTTGTCCACAGCCTGGTTTTTATGGAAGCACTTTCTCAATTGAGGCTCCCTCCTCTCCAATGACTTTAGCTTGTATCAAGTTAGCATAAAACTAGCCAGCACTCCTAGGCTTCCCAGCAAGTGACAATGGGAAGATATTGAAAGAACAAAACAAACCGAGTGGTAAATGTGAAATAAAATCACTGAAGATGGTCAGGAAAAAATAAATAAATGGATAGCATTCTAGTAATAATGGATCTGAAAAAATAAAATTGGTTTCTTTTTTAAATGATTTGTACAATCATTTCTTTATCTGTGAGTGTGTGCGGGCATGTGTGAGTGAGTATGTGTGTATGTCAGAGGTGGTGTGTGCTTCTGTACACATATGGAGGTCAGAGTACCTTGGTAGTAGACTTTGCAGGAGTCAAGCCTGGACTGGTCCCAGGCACGTGTTCTTATACTTGGCTGAAATACGAACTTAGGAATGCAAAGTCATTCTGGGAAATGAGTTCATCTTTCTGGAAACTGATATTGTTCTCATCTTTCACTCAGTGAGGGGAAAAGGGAAGCATCTGGGAAGATTATTACAAGCAAATGTGTCCGAGCTGAATCTTAGGGGCTGACACAGGGAACTGTTCAGCTGATGTAAGGTTGGACTACATTATGCTCTGGGGTTCATTCCACCATTAAGAAACCAGCAAGGGGTGAGATGGCTCAGCAGGTAAAGGCTCTTGCTTTCCAAGCCTGATGCCTTGAGCTTGAGCCCCAAGCCCCACATGAAGGAAGGAGAGAAACCCCTTTTGCATGTTGTCCTCTTAGTAACACTCATGCGCGTGGTGTGGCATGTATGTACCCACACAGACACACAGACACATTAAATACATGTAAGCACACAGAACAACAAGCCCATCAAGGTGACACTTGTGTTATGACAATAAAAAGTACCCCAAAATGTACTAAGTAGAGGAAATAGGTTACTGTGGCATGGGCCTGCCTAACAAGTACAATGCATCCATGTGACTGCGAAGGGAGAAGAGGGCCTCTGAATTTCCCACTTATCCTCTAGAAACACAGACAAGGTCAGATACCTGTGCCAGCCGGCCTTCTTGACCTCCACAGCCTCTTCCTGGTGCTTTGATGCTGAGTGAGAGCTGAGGATGTGAGAGTCCAGGGTGTGAGAGCCCCGGGATGTGTGAGCCGAGGATGTGAGAGCCCAGGATGTGAGAGCTGAGGATGTGAGAGCCCAGGATGTGAGAGCCCAGGAT